TAGCAGTCTCAGTAAAACCAGACGAGGCCCCGGGACCAACGAGGAACACGGAATCACAACACAAAGCCGAGCTCTGCCCAGCGTGCCTGGCACTCCCTGCAAGTCGGGAACACACAAAACGTCACTTTTCCTCTTTCAGCGCCTGACGGCCCCTCCCAGCTTACGTTGAGATGCTCTAAGTCTGTATGCCTCGTGAAAATTGTACCACACTGTAGGATTAGGAAACCAATAACCAAGTGTTTTTATTGCATATACTGTAGTCCGTCTTAATGCCTCCTAGCAGGAAGATAGTGCCGTAGTGCTTATTCTGTGAATATCCCACCTATTTTTACATTGTACAGGACAGACAACACTCTGAAGTGGCAGGCATGCTCCACGAGACAGACAGACAACTCTGCTGTAAGCAATACCCAGTGGTGTGGGAGTCCTATTTCAAGTCCTAAACTATTTCAACTTACGGCTTGTTTGGAAAACAGAAATTTCCATTTTTGTAAAAATCTATGTTTCCTGATTACCTCTTGCTAATAAATCTATTCTATCTCAGGGTGAACAGTGAGTTTGGATGGGTTTCATTCATTCGCTGCAGGGGTATTGGACGAGCACTTGGGCCTTATTAGGCAAGTGACAAGGACACAGTCCCTGCTTTATGAGGCCTCACAGTCTCGTGAGGGACACGGTTTCGGTTATCTGTTGCACCAGGAACGAATCGCTCCAAAATTTAGTGGCTTGAAACGATTTCTACTATCTGTCAGAGTTCTGCGTGTTGATGGGGCCCAGCCGGTGGCTCTTGCTTGGGGCTTCTCGTGAGGTTAGGTCACACAGCAGGTGGGGCTAGGGGCAGTGAAGCTGACTGGATGGGTGTGCAAGACGCACGCTCACGCAGCTGGGAGGCGACGTTGGCTGGGGCTGAGTGTGGACCGGGGCCTCCCAACGTGGCCTTCATGTGGCTTCAGCTTCTCACCGTGTGGCAGCTGGGTCTGGAGGGCGCCTCAGGCAGAAGTTAAAAGGTTTCCGATGACCTACCCTCAGAATTCCCAGCACATCACACCCACAATCTTCATAACAATAACACTCCAATATAATTTTTAAAAAGTCAAAACTAATGTAAAACTCTATCACGAATCACACATCAAAATTTTCAGGAAGGACGGGATCGGTATTTCTGATTTTCCCTTCTGCCTCTGCACCAGCTTCACGCCCCTTTNCCCCCCCGTGCCGATACAGGGCCCCTCGGAGCTCACCGCCCCGAGGCCTGGGGAAACGCGCAGTCAGCACCTCCAGCCCCAGACAGTGGCTCTGATGCACCGTGCACCCCGCCAGCCTCGTCTGCGTTTCTCGTTTTCCTCCTGCTGTACTTGGTCTGTCCCTTGCCAGCTCCGTGTCCCATTGCCTTGACCATCTCCACTTTATTTGTGTCCTCAGACAGATGTTGCACCCATCTGTGCTGTCCGGCCGTCTCTCCCCCGCCTGGGCTCCCGGAGCCCCTGTGGAGTGTGCTTGTGGGGAGCTGCCCCACCGTGCATTCACCAACTGTGCGTCCGCCCCGGGCGCCTCCATCTGCCTCGTTCACATGGCTTCCTCGTCCACTGCCGCCGTCACCGCCTCCACGGCCTCCGTGGTCCCATTCTGTCTGAGTCCCCATCCTGACTGTCCTCCCTCTCTCGGGTTACCCGTGGGCTGTGTAAGTGCCTCTCCCAGACGCCTCTGCTCCCTGCCACAGAGGGCACACTGGGAGCTACGGCCTTTAGCAAATAGGTTCTCGCCTGCAAAGACCAGGCCATGCCATGCAGAGGAGGACAGTAGGTAGAGGAAGTAGGGTGGCAGCCTGTGGGCACAGCTGGCCAGACAGGGCGCCCAGGATGGCATCTTCACGTGGGTCCCCGCCCCTTTGCAGTAAAACATTCAGTCGTGTGCCA